AAATCTTTTTAATATATTAATTTAATTAAAAAATTTTAAATCTTATAATTATCATTTTTGATATTTAAGTTGTCAAAATATCTTAATTTTTCACAATCCCTTATTATTTATAATGTAAATATTTTTATTCCCTTGATTAGTTTAAATTTCAACTAGCCAACTACTGACCACAAACTTCCACATGCCAAACCCTCTCTTAGAACTTAAGAATAACTATTGTTATTATTATTATTATTGTTATTTTGGCCATTTATGTTAGTTGAATTATAAAAATTCAAGTTGAAATAGAAGGAAAAATAAAATAGTAGCCTTAAATTAACACTACCTATTTCTTTATATATATATATATATATATAAACCTATTTCTACATTTTTTTTTCTTCATCATTTAGGCTTAAGCTGCCCCCAAGACCTTTGGGCCAGGGAACTAAATTGCCAGCCGACGGGCCTATGGGTTTTTTCGGCCTTCAACAGAACCATGAGGTTGGTCCTTCGAGACGAGCTTTTTGGGCTTTTATTAATTCATGTGGACGTCGGACCCAAATCATGGTCTTTAGTTTCTTCACGTGCGCCTTTCTTCGGTAAAAGCTTATTTTGATCCCCTCACTTTGTCAAATTTAAAGATTTTAACCTCTCATCTTATTAGATTTATAGATTTTATCTCCTCATCTTACATTATGACATTTTTAACTTCTCATCTTATACTATGACACTTTTAGTTCTTCACCTATTAAAATTGAAAAAAAATAACCCTCACTTTGTAACATCTTATTAATTCTGTTAGCTGACTGTTAATTCTGTTAGTTGACTATTAGTTGATTGTTAGATGTCAAAAACCTTCTTTCAGCTAATAAAGTTAACAAAACTAATTTTATAATTTTTGTTAATTCTGTTAATTGGTTATTAGTTGATTGTTAGTTGATTGTTAGTTGATAAAAATTTATTTTCAACTAAAAGAGTTAATAATCAATATAAAATGAGAGCTATTTTCTTTTATTTTTATAGGTGGGGGACTAAAACTTACAAATCTAAGCACAATGAGGGGTTAAAAGTGTTATAATATAAGATAAGGGATTAAAACCTTCAACTTTGGTAAAGTGAAGGACTCAAAGTAGGTTTTTGTCCCTTTCCTTTAGGCCAATATTTTTAGAATCGATAAAACATGAAAAATGAAAAATGAAAGTGGAATCTTTATACCCCATTCTTTTATTTTAGTTCTCCCACTTTTTACTCTACATATATTTAAAAAATTTAAGATTGATTAAAATTTTATAACTAAGTGTTAAGATAACAAATTTTTTAATGTAAAGTATAAATTTTTATTACTTAAAATATAATGATGCAGAGGCTTATAGCTTACTTAAAAAAGGCTACTACGTGGTTACATGTATAATAAATAAAACAATCAAACAATGAACAATCATAAGATCTTAACTAACAAATCATTTTTTTATCTCTGTAAATAAACTTAAATAATAGAAATAAAATTAAAAAATTAGCAGTTAATACCTTATTTAAATTAAAAATAATACAACTAAATTAAAACACTTAAATTTATAAATGAGACAACGGACCTGAAATAGATGGAGCACTGTTTTTTAAACTAAACATATTCAAAAGTAATGATAATGATAATTTCGTCAAATAAAGTGTTTGTTTTTTAAATTACTAAAAATTACTAAAAATGTAGGATAAATAGAAGGAAAATATATCATAAGAAGAGCATGCACCAATTCCTCTTTTAAGTATTATTTAATTTGAAAAAAAATGAAGTTTATTTCTATTCCCCTTTTTAACTAATTTTTTCTTATTTAAATAAAGAAAATGTCTCCCTCTCCTCAAATGAAATAAACTATTAAAAGAAAACTTAGGGGAATACGTAATGAAGACGAATCAGAGAGGATAGGATACCGATACTCCCTAGGGAAAACATAGATGGTTAAGCAAAATGCACCGTTGATGATTTTATGTAGCTTCGACGTGCATCATGCATGTTTCTTGGATGGGCCATGTGGTACCCACTCTCCAACCCTGCTCTCACAGAAAATAATTTTATTTTTGAAATATTTCGAATTTAGGGAATTTATTAATTTAATGGAACAGTAAAATTAAGGAAAGCTTATTGTAAAGTGTTTATTTCATGGAATCAATAAAATATGAAAAATGAAAAATACGAGCAGAAATTTTCTACTATTTTTCAAACTAAATATGCTTTAAAAAGTTATGATACTGATAATTTAGTTAAATAAAGTGTTTGTTTTTTAATTTTTTAAATTACTAAAAAAGCCTAAATAAATAAAGAACATATTATAGAACTAACGTCCATAAATTCCCTTTTAAATCCCATTTGATTTGAGAAAAATAAAGTTTCCTTGCCTTCTTCCTTTAAAGTAAACGGGCTATAAAAAATATATATATCTCATATATTAATCACTAATCAACATGATTATATATTTATATAACTTAATCTTAAATTTTGTTTTTTCTACTAGAATGGTATTACCACTAAGATATTTTAGTTATTCTCATATTAAATTTAAACATGATAGTTGTAGTGTGATCAAAATTATCTCTATAAGAATTTTTATAATTTACTCATTTTCTTTTCAACTAGAATAGCTTAATTCTTTTTTGTTGCGCTTCTCATAATCTCTTGTACATGCTTAGCATTCTATTAATTGGTAATTGTAAGTAAAATAATTTAATCACTAAAAGATAATATAATATACTATTGGGAGTAAAATGTTGGAGTAATATGAATGAATTCTATAATTTAAAAAGAACAATTACTATAATAAATAATTTATTTTGTAGTTCAAATTCTAAACGCTAATTATTGCTTTTACATAACAGTGCCTTAAAAACGCAGGGATGTTACGAAACAATTCAGTTAAAAATTCTAAGTAACTAACTAATCTTAATTTAATCCTCACATATATAATAGACTCTGCCTAACTCTAAACGTTAGCACTCATGGTTAACCACCATTGACAGCTCAGCTCTGCAAATGGGACGGTATCACATGGAAATAATGGAAAAATTCAGGGCGTGGAGGTAATTCACGGATAGAAATGGGATACGAGTTGTCCTGAGTGATAAGGGGAGATCTACTGGAGGTCCATACTAATACCACGCTTTTTTTTTTATTTTTTATTTTTTGGTTTTACGATGCCGTTTACGTTATGACATTCGATGATTTTTTTTATATATCGAAAAAATTAATTATTTAATATCATATAAATTTAAATATTTAATTCTTCCAACCTCAACATCATATATATATATATATATTTATAAATTTGGATACCCAACACTTTCCTCAAATCGAAGCACATCATTGGACATTCCACTGATGATCATCAGAGTTGGGATTGGTAAAGGGAGTGGCGAAGATGACGTTTGATTTTGTGTAACGTTGAGGGTCAACAACATAGAATCACTACAAGAAATGAGGTTTTTAATGATAAAAAAATTATGATAAAAATTAAAATTAATACTATAATTTACTATATTTGTGATATAATTTAAAAATTAATAACAAATGCAATTATATTTAATAATGATAAAAAAAATTATCATTAAAAAAATATTTTATTATTAAAAAATAATCAC